CCTTTCTGTGATGGGAATGTTTATGGGACTCTAGTTTCTAGCTCTCTAACAAAGTAATTTTGAACATCGTTCTTTTACTTTGTTTCCAACTACACCAAACAGTGTCAATATATTGCCCATGGATAAGTAGATGGTTTTGTGCATTCTACATTGCTGTTATTTTATTAAGATGATGCACAGGGAGAGGTGAAGATCAGAGGTTCTTAGTATTCTACTTATTCTACTGGTGTTTCTTTGCAGTCTTTTGAACTGCAGCCTCAATAATAATGGTTACAAAACAATCTATCAAGAACTTAATTTAAGATACATAATGCACATTTAATCAGGCTTACATTCATGAAATTATTATTCATTCCACCCCCACACCTTACTATCTCATTTGATCCTGCAACAAACTAGAATTTCTGTGTTTTGAAGTTGGCATACCAATGCAATTTAACTTCAAAAGTTAAAGACCCAGCTCCTTATTCAGTCACTTAACATGCAGTTGACAATATTAATGTGTGATGAGCAGTTAGTTTCTTCAAGAATCATTTGAACTAAATCTTACTCTTGTGGTATTTGGATTGAGAGTATTGTTCAAATAACAAGGATACTCTATACCAGTTACTAACATTTTGCTTTTGCTCCTTTTTTTGCACTTGGTTATGGGTTACTTTTAATCCTGGTGTGTTAATAATCTTTGTAAATATTTCAGCCCATACTGATTTGTCATATTTGTTATATCACATGTCTGCAGCATATTTGTGAGTCTGATGAAAGAGATGAAATAGTCATCTGTGAACTCTGTGATGCAAATGTTGGTCAGTTTAATCACCACATGAAGAGAAACCATCCAGGCTGTGGGCGTAGTGCCAACCGTCAAGGCTATCGCAGCAATGGGTCCTATGTTGACGGTTGGTTTGGTGGTGAGTGCGGGAGTGGAAATCCATACTACCTCTTGTGTAGTGGCTGTAGGGACAAGTATCTGGCCATGAAGATCAAGACAAAGGTCCCAGTTTCAGAAAGGTGAGATGGGTTTTCAAGTAATTGAGGATATAACATAATTTACCTCCCAAGCTTATAGGGATGATCATGTGGGTGTAAATAAGTATGATTTCTGATAAACACTCTAAATAGTGTCCCCCATAAATCCCATTCAGTTGTGTGATAAATATTAAGAGGTATGTGAGTTGTAGATAGAAATTTTATTTAAGTTTTTTGACAATCCCCAAATCGGAACACGTTAATCAGTCGACCTCAGTACAGTGAATTCAAATGGTTTCTGTTGAAGAAATTGTTGGAAGAACAGAGTTTATAATTTGATTCATCCCTGGCTTATTTTGATATAATTTAATTGCATCAGTCAAACATATCTGTTATGGTTCCTTTTAAATAGTATTTTCCTGTGCGCGATCAATGGCTGCCAAGCAGTCCATGATGTTCACGTTGAACAACTGTGCAAGCTTATAGAGAAATTTGCAGTTGAGTGCTAAACGTTAGTACAAAAATGCTTCTATTTTGAAAACATAAAGGGTTTTACAGATTAGAATTATTTTTGTCTTAAATGGACTTTTGATTTTTTTAACTTAATTTATGAATCAAGTTCTGAACAGCACTTCAAAGATTGATTTTAGCAAATTGCGCCTGTGAGCGAATTCATTCTTAAATATTCCAGATTCCATTCCTCTCTATCTCTCGTACAATACCCTTAATAATTGAACTGGATTGAAAACTTGTACTTTTCAGTGAGGATGTAATGAGTTCCAGCTGGCAAAAAAAAATCCCCATTGCAGCATTGGTTGACATAGATACAGAACACACCATGCATCTCTCAGAAGGATTTCGCGTTCTGTTTCAAAATAGGTTCAATTGTTTTTGAAGTAATTATGCTCAAGCTAGCGATAGTTATAGAATCCTTACAGTGTGGAAACAGGCCATTCAGCCCTGAAAGTCCCACTCAGACTCACTCCCCTACCCTATCCCTGTAACCCTGCATTTCCCGTGGCCAGTCCACCTAGCCTGCATGTCTTTAGACTGTGGGAGGAATCGAGAGTACCCGGAGGAAACACCGACACGGGGAGAGCGTGCAAAGTCCACACAGACAGTTGCCCGAGGCTGGAATCGAACCTGGGTCCCTAGTGCTGTGAGGCAGCAGTGCTAACCGCTGAGCCATCGTGCCGCCCCATCCTGTGCCGTGTCATCTGAGCTGTGGCTCACTTTGCTTCACCAATGTGTTATTTCGATCCTGACACTTTTTTTTTTCTTCCTGTTTTACACCTGCAACCTTCTTAAAAACTCACTTCACACCTTTTGGTACTGAGTAGCTACTGAAAGTTGCTGCATGATATGTCATTGTGTTCCATGGCAAGTGATATGTAGCAGTCCAAATCGAGAGGAAGACTCGAGGTACAAGTTCCAAAAAAAAACACAAAACATGGAATGCACATCGAGCTTGATGTTGGCTTGAGCTTTTTTCTTGGTATTCCAAATCATCTTTAATAGATGTAGGGGCCTATGCCTATAGTAATGAGGATCCTAATGGTTATTTTAGGACTTCTGGAAAGTTGTGTAACTCTATGTGGAGTAGGCATCAGCCATTCTCTACTTGTCTTTCCCAGGCACGTCTGGAAGACAACAAATATATTTTAAAAATTCTCACAGATAACTCCCAACTTCCTTATGCAATCAGCACCTCCCTCTAGACAATCTCAACATTCCCTCAATTCCCACACCATCCAGGCTAAAGGACATGGTTGGCAAGATAAGTGAATTAACAGTCGGCTAACTGCAACTGAAGGCATGATTGAGGCTTTCTGCTCGTCCAAAGATTAAGATGAGGCTCATTGAAACTTCTGATGGGGTATAAAAATAAAAATTGAAGGAGAGCAGGAGAACCTTTCCCTTAGTCAAAGAACACGGCCGAAGAAATATTGCCAAGACAGTCAGGCTAGCTATGCACCTCTCCATTTTGATGCTTGTGGAAGCGTGCAATGCCTGAGTAACTGTCGAGTTTGCCACAGAATAGTAACAGCTTCTGAGGGAAAAGCTCTGGAGATTGAAGCTGGAGTATATCTCTACAAGAAGGGTAAAAATAACTAAATTGCTTGAGTATGTTATTTACAGTTTAAAGTTGACGTATGTTCTTGGAATTATTAAGTATTGTTCATTTTTCAGATACAAAGGCCAGGCACCAGATCTGATAGGCAAGCAAGATAGCATATACGAAGGTATTTGCTTAATTTCTAATTATTTAAGTGATGTGATAATTTAAATTGATTAGACACTTTTAGGTACCTTTTTAGTTTGTTTTTATTCTTTCATTCACTGAGTACATTTGTTAGCAGGGCCTGCATTTATTGCCTATTCCTAATGGCCCAAAAGGTGGTCATTACCTGCCTTTTTGAACCACTGCAGCAGTGACAAAGTTCCAAGTCAGATTGGTGAGTGGCGGAGGGAAAGTTGCAGGAAGTGTTTTTTCCACATATCTGCTGCCCTTGTTCTTCTAAATAGCAGAGATTGCAAGGTTGAAAGGCAATGCCAAAGGCAGCTTGATGATGAGTTGCTGCACTGCATCTTGTGGATGGTACAAACTGTTGCTGTGGTGTACTTGTGGCAAAGGGCATGAAAGGCTAAGGTCACAGGTGGGGCGCTGATCAATGGGCTGCTTTCTCCTGGATGGTCTTGAGTTTGTTGAACGTTTTTGGAACTGCTTATCCAGGCAAGTAGAGAGTATTCCATCGTAGTCTTAACTTGTGCCTAGATGGTGGACAGGCTCTGGGGAGTCAGAAGGTGAGTTACTCATTACACAATACCTAGGGCCTGAGCTGCTTGTACTAACAATTATGAAATGGTTGGTCTAGTTCATTTTTTGGTCAACATTAACCCCAGGAAATTGATGGAGAGAGATTCAGGTTTAGATTTTCCTTTATTGAAGATGGTGATCACCATTTAAATGTTTAGGATGAGTTTCTCCACTTATCTCTCTTTTTAATTACATATGGTGTGCACCATGCTAAACTAGCACTGGTGATGCGCAATAGCCAGACAGGAATCCACTTTTGAATAAAGAAACAGGATTATACCATTCAGCCCTTTGAACTGTTCTGCAGTTCAGTTAGGTTGTGGTGATCAGCATCCAAACTCTATTCATTCTCTTGGCTTCATATCTCCTGGTTGGAAAAATCTATTGATCTCAATGTTAGTTGAAATACAATCTATTGTTTTTGTGAAAGAATTCCATAGTTCTGCAATCCCTTATGTAAAAAAAAAGTTTCTTGACTTCTTCCCTACTTGGTCTGGCTCTGTTTTAGAATCTAGGACAAGAAGACAAATATTATCAGTGGAACAGGTTGATTTTCCATATTTTTCTTCATCAGAGAAAAGGAGAACAATTACACTTTCAGTTACTGCCCTCCCAAAGTAGCATGTGATTTAGAACCAGGGAACTGGTCATTTTAAAGGACCAGGGAACTGGTCATTTAAAACCCATCACTTTATTCTTCCATGGGATGCACGAGTTGCTGCCAAGGCAAACATTTGTTGCCCATCCCCAATTTTCCTCGAGAAAATGCTGGAGCTGCGTTCTTGAACTGTTGAAGGCTCGGTATGTAGGTATCCACAGCACAGTTGGGGCAAAAGTTCAGGGATTCTGACGCAGTAACATCGAAGGAACAGCGATATATTTCCAAGTCAGTGAATATGACCTGATAGTCATTGCGAAGACCTGATTATAAAGAGATCAAAAATGGGAATTTAACATTCAGGGGTGTTTGACCGTTTGGAAAGACGGGAGGAAAGGAAAAGGTAGCGCTGTTATTGAGAGATGAAATGAGGATAGTTGCGAGAGATAATTTAGGCTTGGATGATGTCGAGTCCATTTGGGTGGAGGTAAAAATCAGCAAGGGAAAGAAGGTATCAGTAGGAGTAGTGTATAGAACCCAAATAGTAGCCACACTATAGAAAAGGGTATACCTGGACAAATAATAACTGTATGTAGAAAGAATAGAGCAATACTTGTGGGTGACATTAATCTAAATGTTGGTTGAATTAAGCAAGTTGGGCTGGGTAGTTACAGGAATGAATTTATGGAGTGCATTAGGGATAGTTTCCAAGAACAGCATGTCATGGAGCCAATCAGGGAACAGGCCATCTTGGATCTGATAATAGTTAACAAGGCAGGTTTAACAAATTACCTATGAGTAAAAGACACTCTCAGATGTTACGATCATAACATGGTTTAATCAATTTGAAAGTTAGTAAACAACTGATTACAATAAGTGACAAATAAATTGGGTTAGTTAGCTAAGGTGGATTGGGCAGATAGATTAACAGGAAAGTTAGTAAGCAAGCAGTAGCAGTTGAGGAGGTATTCACGACTCTCAGCAAAATGTCGACTAGCAAGGAGGAAAGATTCTGGACATGGCAAAAACGGCCTATGACTAATTAAGGAAGTTAAGGAGTGAATTAAGTTGAAAGAAAAACCATATAAAGAGACAAACGTCAGTGATAACCTGAAAGACTGAAATAAAGTCAGAATCCAGCAAACATGGACTAAAAAGATAATGGAGGGAAAATAAGTGAGGGCAAACTAGCGAGGAAAATAAAATCTGACAGTTGGAGCCTTTTTTAAATACATAAAAAGGAAGACAGATGTCAAAGTGAACATAGGCTCTGTAGAAATTGAATCAGGAATGATAGTTATGGGGAGCTAGGAAATGGCAGAGGAGTAAAATAGATATTTTTCATCATTCTTTATAGTGGAAAATACATTGAACATCCCAATAATATTAGAGAATACAGAGAGGAATCAATAGACTAGTAGTTTTAGACAAACTGATGGGTTAAAGGTAGATAAATCCCCTAGCCTGATGACTTGCATTCTAGGATCCTCAAAAGAAGCAGCTACTGTTGGAGATGCATTGGTTGTATTTTTCTAAAAATCCTTGGACTCTGGAGAAGTGCTGGTGGATTGGAAAACTGCCAATGTGACACTCCTATTCAAAAAGGGAGAGAGACAAAAAGTGGGTAATTACAGACTGGTTAGCCTAACAGCTGTTAGAAAAAAGTTGGAATCAATTATCAAGAAAGTAGTAGCAGTACTTTGAGGTAATTATAAACTAATCAAGCAAAGCCAGCATGGCCTCATTAAATGTAAATCATGTCTGACTTATTTATTAGAGTTTTTGAGGAAGTTTCAACCTGAGTGGATAGAGGGGAGCCAGTGGATCTGTTATATTTGGACTTCCAGAAGGCATTTGACAAAGTACCTTCCAAAGATCATGTCATAAGATAAAAGCCATAAGACTATAAGATGTAGGAGCAGAATTCGGCTAGTTGGTCCATCAATTGTGCTGCACCAATTGACCATGGCTGACATGTTTCTCAACCACATTCTCCTGCCTTCTCCTTGTACAATATTGGATATTGGCATGGATAGAGAATTGGCTGACGGAAAGGAAACAGTTAGTGGGGATAGGGTGTCCTTTTCAGGTGGTTGACCTGTAACAAGTAGGATTCCACAGGGATCTTTGCTGGGACTGCAACTGTTTCCAATATATGTTAATGATTGGAGGAAGGAAGCAAATTTACTAAAGAGAAATTTGCAGACAACAGAAAAATAGATGGGGAAGTATGTTGCATGAGGGATAAAAGCAGTTGACAACAAGATATTAATAGGTTAAGCAAATGATAAAAAGTTGGCAAATGGAGTATAACATGGGAAAATATGAAGTTGTTCATTTTGGAAAGGAGAATAAAAGAACTATTATTTTAATAGAGAAAAACTGCAGAAAGCTGCAACACAAATAGTTGCTTGTGAACAAAACACTAAGCTAGCACACAGGTGATGCATGTAGTGAGGAAGGGTATTGGAATGTTGGCTCTTATTTCGTCAGGTTTGAAGTAGAAGATTCAGGATCCTTCCTGTGATTGCACAAGATGCTCGTTAGACCCATCTGAACTACTGTGAGCAGTTTTGGTCCTTTTATTGGGAAAAGATATTATTTCATTGGACATAGTTTAGAGACCATTCACTAGTATGATCCTCTGTTTGGAGGGATTGCCTTATGAATAAGGATTAAACAGGTTGGCATTTGACTTACTGGAGTTAAGAAGAATAAGAGGTGATCTCTGTGAAACATATCAGATTCTTAAGGGACTTGGCAGGCTAAATGCTGAGAGGATCTTTCCTCCCATTGGACAGTCTAGGACCAGGGTGCATATTCTTAGAATCAAGATGTTCAATTCAAAACTAAGATACGAAGGAATTTCTTCTCTGAGGATTGAGAGTCTTTGGAATTCCTTGCCACAGAGACTAATGCGGGCAGAGCTCTTGTATATATTTAACGCTGAGATATTACACATGGACTGTGTTGGTCCAAGAAGGCAGGTCAGCACCATCTTCTCAAGGCCATTGAGGGATGGGCAATAAATGCTGGCTCAGCCAATGACGCCACATCCCACAAGTCAACAAAGAAAAGTTAGATTCTTGATCAGGGTTAAAATGAAAGAACAGCAAAGTGGGCATGAGGAATGTTGGATCAGCCATGAATGGCAAAGCAGCCTTGAGGAACCAAATGGCCTACCCGTGTTCCTATTCCTTAGGGATTTATGGTCATGAATGGAGACGTTTCCATTTGCCTACTGCCCTTGTTGTTCTAGATAATGGAGATTGTAGGCTTGGACGGTGCTATCAAAGGAGCACTGGTGAGTGCATCTTACAGGTGGTACACACTGCTGCCCCTGTGGTGAAGGGAGTTGTGCATGGGGTGGCTTTGTCCCACATAGTGTCAAAACGTCAAACTCATAGTTCTGTACTTACCGATGCCTCTTTGTCTTACTCTTTCAGAAGACTGGGACATGTTAGATGTTGATGAGGACGAGAAGCTGACTGGAGAGGAAGAGTTTGAGTTGTTGGCTGGACCCCTTGGCTTGAATGAACGAAGAATTGTACCTGAGCCAGTGCAGTTTCCTGACAATGATCCACTGGGAGCATCTGTTGCCATGGTAACAGCAACCAACAGTATGGAAGAAACACTTATGCAAATAGGTTAGTGCAACAACAATCTACAGTGAAATAATGTTGGAATTGTTTATAGCATATCATTAAAAATGTAAAAATTGGAACATTGCCAAGACAAGTTTCTCAGCAATATTGAGAAAAATTGCAAACTCATCAAAAATAAAAAAGCAAGATTTAATTTGCTCCCCTGCTGCAGACTATTAGCACTTTGAAAAGTCAGTTTGTACATAACAATAAAGTTCACGGTTAATATAAGAAAAACACTTTTTTTTTTACTCCCTCTTAACATTTAATCATAGAATCATCATCGTAGAATCCCTACAGTGTGGAAACAGGCCCGTTGGCCCAACAAGTCCACACCGACCCTTTGAGCATCCCACCCAGACCCACCCCCATATAACCCACCTAATCTACACATCCCTGAACACTGCAGGCAATTTAGCATGGCCAATCCACCTAGCCTGCACATCTTTGGACTGTGGGAGGAAACCGGAGCACCCTGAGGAAATCCATGCAAACACGGGGAGAATGTGCAAACTCCTCACAGACCGAGGGTGGAATTGAACTGGGGTCCCTGGCGCTGGTGCCACCTTGCTTTAATTTCTTTGGGGCATTTGTTCTTTTACCATATTTTTGATATTTTTTATTTTTCTTGAGTGCTGTAGCAGCAAGAGGAAGTTGGGTGTTCTAAGAAAGTGCATGAGACACTGTGGAACAAAGGGAAGATTTGCCTACAATGTGACTTTTCAGGTTAGACATCAAGGAGAGATGGGTTCTATGGGAAGAGTAGCTAGTACCACTTCATTAGAATATCTGAAATAGGATGAGCTATAAACCATACATCCCCTTGAGCCTGCTCAGATCTCCTGACTTAAATCAATTTCCTTTCCCATTTCTGAGAAACAATTATGGAATTCTGCAGTGCAGATGAGGCCCTCTGTCTGGCACACAGATAAGAGACTGGACAATATTTACTGGAGTTTAGAACAATGAGGGAGGATCTCATAGAAACCTGTAAAATTCTAACAGGACTAAACAGGGTATGCAAGTGAATGTTGTTCTCAGTGATTGGGGTATCCAGAACCAAGGCGCACAATTTAAGGATACAGGGTCATTTAAGACTGGGGTGAGGAAAACTTTCTTTACCTAAAATTTGGTGATCCTGTTAATTAATTGTCACAAAGTGTTAAATACAGTTCTTGGAACTAAAGGGATCACAGGGTATGGGAGCAAATGGAAATAGGAACTGGATGATCAGCCATGAAGATATTGAATGTTGGAGCAGGCTTGAAGGACCAAATAGCCTACTGTTGCTCCCGTTTTCTATATTTTAATCTAAGTAAAGTCAAATAGACTTGACTATTGGTCAGTATACTTTTCATCATTTAAAAAAAATTTGAGTATTTTAAAAAGCATTAAGGTAGGCAAGTCCCCAGGACCTGATGCATCCCAGAATGCTAGAGAGACAGGTGAGGAAATTACTGGGCCTTGTACGAAATCTCTGTATCCTCTTTAGTCACAGGAGAGGTACCAGAGGATTGGAGAATAGCCAACATTGTTCCTTTTATTTAAGAAGGACAACCGGGATAAACTGGGACATTACAAGCCACTGAGCCTTTCGTCAGTGGTAGTTGAATTATTGGAGAGGATTCTCAGGATTTATTTACATTTGAAAAATATAGACTTATGAGTGATCGGTAGCGTGGCTTTGTGCGGGGGAGATCGTATCTTACAAACTTCCGAGTTTTTTGAGGAAGTGACAAAGATGATTGGTGAGGGCGGGGCAGGAGATGTTGTCAGTATGTACTTTAGCAAGGTCTTTGACAAGATCCCTCACAGCAAGATGATATAAAGGATGAAGTCACATGGGATCCAAAGTGAGCTGGTAAGCTGGATACAGAACTGGCTTTGTCTTAGATGACAAAGTAGCGGTGGAAGGGTGTTTTTCTGACTGGAGATCCATGACCAGTGGTGTTACGAAGTGCTGGGATTTCTGTTGTTTGTAATTTAAATAAATGATTTGCAGGAAAATATCGGTGGCCTGATTTCCAGACAACTTAAAGACTGGGGGAGCTGAGAATAATGAGGAGGATTGCCAGAGGATACAGCAAGATATAGGTAGGCTGGAGACTTGGGCAGAGGGAAGTATACAGTCAATGGCAGAGCCCTTAGTTGCATCGACATACAGAGGGATCTAGGTGTACAGACCCACAGTTCCCTGAAAGTGGCAACAGAAGTGCATAAGGTGATCCGGAAGGCATGTAGTATGATTGCTTTTATTGGTCGGGGCAAAGTTGTGAAAATTGGCATGTCGTGTTGCAGAAGTTAAGGCCACATTTGGAGTATTTTGTACAGTTCTGCTCACCACACTGCAAGAAGGATGTGGAGGCACAGTTTACCAGCATGTTATCTGGTTTGGAGGATATTAGCAGTGAGGAGAAATTGGACAAACGTGGTTTGTTTTCACTTGAATGTTAAACGATGAGGCACGATCTGACAGAAGCTTACAAAATTGAGAGGCATGGAATTGAATGGATAGTCGGAGTCCTTTTGCCAGGGTAGAAATGTCAGTTACTAGGGAACATAGGTTTAAGTTAAAAGGGGGTAAGTTTAAAGTTTGAAAGGCAAGTTTTTTACACACAGGATGGGACATGCCTGGAATGTACAGCCAGAGGAGGTGGTGGAGGCAGATAGAATAGCAACATTTAAGAGGCATCCTGCCTATGGTTAGGCAGGAAATGGAGGGATATGGACCATGGAGAAGAAAAGGATTTTTGTTTAGAAAGGCATCATGTGTCGGTGCAGTCTTGGTTGGCAAAAGGGCCTGTTCCTGGGCTGTACTGTTCTTTGTTCTTCAAGAGGAAGTGCTGTTTGATAGCACTGTCGACAAGCTCTCTTTGATCAGTTTTAATTTTGAGAGTAGAGTTGGGCCATTAGTTGATTGCAGTAGATTTGTCCTGCTTTTTGTCACAAAAAAAAATCATTATTTAAGTTGTTCATATTTGAAATCTAGGAACAGATTGATCCCAAAGTATGAAAATGGCAAATCTGTAGAATGATAAAAACTGTCAATTGTCTGCTGGGCCAAAATGATACCATGTGTAGAAAAGTAGAGAAGAGAAATATTAGGAAATTGAGATAGCACTAACTACAGCAGAAAATTTGTAGGATATTCATCTGAGCAGTAAGCATTATTCCCTGTCTTTCCTGAGTTAGGGTGTCAGTTGCTCAAAATCGTCAGTGAGAATGTGGAGACATGTTGCATTAATGTCTTTAAATAAAGATTTTTTTAGAGCACAGACAGAATGCAGTTACACAATCTAGGAGCAACTGTCAGCTTTTTGCCCCTTTGAGCCAGTCTACCATTCACTATGGCCGATCCTGTATGTTAAAGTCATATTCCTATTTTCTGCCTATACACCTTGATGCCTTTAAATTCTACAAATGTTTATCTCTTTTTCTTGAATATATTCAGTGATTTCTGTGGTCGAGAATTCCACAAGTTCCTACCCTTTTTGAGTAAAGTGGTTTTCCTTATCTCAGTCCTAAATGGCCTTCCCCATTATCCCGAGACTGTGTCCCCTGGTTATAGACTCCCCAGCCAGAGAAGACATACTCCCTGTTGTTAGTCTGTCCAGCCCTGTTAGGATTTTGTACGTTTCAATCAGATCCTGTCTCATCCTTCTAAACTCTAGTGAATAAACTAAATAAATAAACTCCTAAACTCTTGTTGGTGAGGCTCTTCTGGAGTACTGTGTCCAGTTTTGGTGTCTCTGCTCTTGGAAGGACGCGATCAAGCTGGAGAAGGTTCTGAAGAGATTTACCAAGATGCTGGGAATGGACGGTTTGAGTTGTAAGGAGAGGCTGGATAGGACGGGGATTTCTTTGACTGGAGCATAGGAGGTTGAGGGGTGACCTTACAGAGATTTACAAAATCATGAGGGATATAAATAGTGTCTTTTCTTTAGGTTGGGGATTTGAAGACTCGGGGGCATATTTTAAGGTGAGAGGAGAATGATTTAAAAAAGACATGAGGGACAATTTGTTTTACACAGCAAGTGGATTGTGTGTGGAATGAACGTCCGGTGGAAGTGATGGATGCAGGTATGGTTAGAACATTTAAAAGACCTTTAGATAAATACGTGATTAATAAATGTTTTGGTGGGATATGGGCTAAAACGCAAGCAGATGGAATTAATTTCATTTGAGATTATGGTCAGCATGAACTGGTTGGACTGAAGGTTCTGTTTCTGTGCAGTATGACTCTCTCGTACAGACCCAGACAAACCAATCTTACTTCATAGGACAATCCTGCCTTTGCTGGCACCAGCCGAATGAACCTCTGCTGCACTCCTTCTATGTAAAGTATGCCCTGTATGACAGCAGGAAGACCTCCCTAATTTTGAACTCTCATTCCCTTGCACTGAAGACCATATTATTTGCCTTCCTAATTGCTTGCTGCACCTTTTTTATTTACTTGTGGTATGTGGGCATTGCTGGCTGGCCAACATTTATTAACCAACATGTTGCCCTTGAGAATGTGATGGCGAGCTGCCTTCTTGAACCACTGAAGTCCATATGCTGTCGATTGCCCTGCAAAGACCTAAGGGAAGGAATTCCAGAATTTTGGCCCAGTGACACCCTAATGGCATTTTATTTCCAAGTCCGGATGGTGAGTAGCTTGGAGAGGAACTTGCAGGTGATAATGTTCCTATGTATCTGCTGCCCTTGTCCTTCTGGATGTAAGTATTTCTGAGTTTGGAAAGTGCTTTCTAAGGATCTTGGGTGAAGTTCAGCAGTGCATCTCCTAGAATATACGTACTACTGCTACTGAGCATCTGTGGTGGAGGGAGTGGGGATTTGTGAATGCGGTGCAGTCAAACCAGCTGCTTTGTCCTGGATGGTGTCAAGCTTGCGCATTGTTGGAACTGCACCTTTTCAGACAAGTGGGCAATATTCCATCGCAATCCTGACTTCTACCTTGTAGATAGTAGACAACCTTTTAGTGAGTCAGGTGGTGAGTTACTCGCTGCAGTATTCCAAGGCTCTGACCTGCTCTTGTAGTCACTGTGTTTATGTGGGGAGATCTACTGAATTTCTGGTCAGTGCTAACCCCAAGGATGTTAATAGTGGGGAATTTAGTGATGGTAGAACCATTGAATGTCAAGGGGCGATGATTAGATTGTCTCTTATTGGAGATGGTCATTGCTCAGCATTTGTGTTGCACATCATTGGATAAACATATGGATGATACTGGAATAGTTTAGGTTAGATGGGCTTCAGATTGGTTTCACAGGTTGGCGCAACATCAAGGGCCGAAGGGCCTGTACTGTGCTGTAATGTTCTATGTTCTAAATGTTGCTTACCACTTGTTAGCCCAAGCCTGAATATTGTCCGGATCCTGTTGCATTTGAACATGGGCTGACTTAGTATCTGAGGGCAACATGGTGGCTCAGTGATTAGCACTTGCCTCAGCGCACAGGGATCTGTGTCCAATTCCACCCTTGGGTGACTGTCTGTGTGGAGTTTGCATATTCTCCCCATGGATTTCCTCCAGGTGCTCTAGTTTCCTCTTTCAGTCCAAAGGTGTTCAAGTTAGGTGGATTGGCCGTGCTAAATTACCCATAGTAGGGATGTGTAGGTTAGATGGGTTAGACATGAGAAACATGGGGTTTCAAGGAGAGAGAAGGGGGTTGGGTCTGGGTGAGATGCTTTTCAGAGGGTCAGTGTGGACTTGTTGGACCGAATGGTTTCCACACTGTAGGAATTCTATGGAAAGGTGTCATGAATAATGCTGAACACTGTGCAACCATTGGCGAATATCCCCATTTCTGACCCGATGATGGAGGGAAGGTGATTAATAAAGCAGCTGAAGATGCTTGGGCTAGGACACTATCCTGAGAACTCCTGCAGAAATGTTCTGGAGCTGAGATGACTGACCACCAACAACCACAAACATATGACAGGTATAACTCCAACCAGCAGAGAGTTTGCCCCCGATTCCCACTGATTCTGGTTTTGTTCAAGTTTCTTGATACCACTTAGTCGAACGCAGCCTTGTCGTCAAGGTCTGTCACTCTGTCTTCACCTCTGGAATTGAACTATTTTGTCCATGTTTGAACTAAGGCTATAATGAGATCAGGAGCTGAGCGGCCTTGACAGAATCCAAACTGGGCATCACTGAGCACGTTACTGCTAAGCAGGTGCTGCTAGATAGCACTTTTGATGACGTCTTCCATCACTTTATCTGCCTGTCTCCTTTCAATGACTGATGTACAAGGGCACTCATTCCTCTGTACTTAAACAGTTCCCAATGCATTGCAATCCAAATATTGCTCTTCCTCCCTGTTTTTCTTAGTGAACTGTATAACTTTGTTTGACCACATTGTCCTGCATCTGCACGCTCACTCAACTTGTCTAAAACACCTTAAAGTCGTCTTGCATCCTGCTCACAACTCTGTCCCAAGCAATTTTGTGTCATCAGCAAACTTGGAAATGTTGCATTTGGTTCCATTATCCATTGTCAGAAATATATATTGTGAATAGCTGGTCCCAAGCACTAATCTTTGCAGTATTTCATTAATCTTTGCCTGCCTTGCAGAGCAAGACCCCTTTATTCCCACACTGTTTCTAGCCTATTAGCATATTGCCCCCTATCATATAGTAGGAACTGCCGATGCTGGAGTCTGAGATAACAAGAAAAATCTGAAGAAGGGTCCAGACCTGAAATGTCAGCTTTCCTGCTCCTCTGATGCTGCCTGGCCTGCTGTGTTCCTCCAGCTCCACACCTTGTTATCTTGCCCCCTGTCATGGTGGCTCTGGTTAGCGCTGCTGCCTCACAGCACCAGGGATCTGGGTTCGATTCCCGCCTGGACATTTGTCTGTGTGGAGTTTGCACATTCTCCCCAAGTCTGCATGGGTTTCCTCCGGGTGCTCCAGTTTCCTCCCACAGTCCAAAGATGTGCAGGTGGATTGGCCATGCTAAATTGCCCATAGTGTCCAGGGGCATGCAGGCTAGGTGGTTTAGCTGTGGGGGTTAATGCAGGGTGACAGGGATTGGGCAAGAGGGATGCGTCTGGGTGGGATGCTGATCAGAGGGTCTGTGTGGACTTGATGGGCCAAATTGCCGCCTCCTATGCGAGGGATTTTATGATCCCATGTGCTTTAATTTTGCACAAGGGACCTTATCTTAGAGCATGCAATGTTTTGAACAGCTGAAACAGTTGCTGCATCTTCTGAAAGAAGACTCAACAAATAATTTAACCAAAGGAAGGTGCAGGGTATTAGGGACAGAGCAAGGTAGTCATAGTTTAGTTTATCATCTGCTATCTTCTCACCATGCCCCATGTTGTGTTGTGCCTGATGCTCTTTCATCCTCCCCAACTCAACTTGCCACATGATCCTTTTCTTGTGCAGTAACAAGGAAATTTGCTTGTTCTTTGTCAAGGTTGCTTTGGATCGGTAGATAAATGTTCGTCTGGTAGAGTGACACTTGGAGAACAGGCAGCAGCCCTACACAATCCACATGACCGAGTTATGGCCTTGAGGCGAGTGACTGCAGCAGCACAGGTCCTTCTAGCAAGGACCATGGTCATGAGAGCTCTTTCACTGCTATCTGTCAGGTAGGAGGATTTTAATTTTTTATTAAATGATTGTTCAATGAGTGTGATTTTTTTTTTTGTTCATGAGATGTGGGTTTCTAAGCTACCATTTATTATCCCTCCCTAATTGCATAGAAGGCAGTTGAGATTCAAACAAGTTGCAGTGGATCTGCAGCCACCTGTAGGCCAGAAGGTAAGAATGGCAGATTTTCTTTCCTAAGGACATCAGTGAACCAAATAGGTTTTTACAACAATTGACAGTGGTTATATGGTTGTCGTTTTTTTTAATTCTTTAATTTTTAAATCTGGTATGGCGGAATTTGAACCCATGTCTTCAAATCATGAACCTGAAGCTCTGGATTACTGGTCCAGTGACTTTACCCCCAGCAACCACCTCCCTGAGATTAGTCTGGTACTGTTTAAGAATTTTCCCTTCATGTAAATTCCCATTTGTAAGGAATTGTTCAATTTTGGTCTGCTTTCATTGAGGCTTTAGAAAATTCTGTTTACATTTGAATGTCACTTCTAAACTTTTTGAAAACTTCTGTGAAAGGAAACTTTTGAATGGTGTTTTTCCTTTAACCCTTACCCAATTTCATTCTTCTGAAAATGCATCAACATAATTTTTAACTTGAGACATGCTACACAACTAAAAAGTATCCTAGGCAGTCATTCTGTCATAGATAAAGGTGGATTAAATACTAGTGAGAGTAACATCAAACAATATAGCATGGGAACAGGCCCTTCGGTCCACGATGTTGTGTCAAATATGACTCCAAATTAAATAATCTCTTCTGCCTGCCCTTGGCCTGTATCCCTTGATTAGTTGCGCATTCATATGCTTATCTAAAAGTCCCTTAAACACCCCTATTATATCTGCTCCACCAGCCCTGGCAGTGCGTTGCAGATTTCTACCACACTCTGTAAAAGAAAAACTTGCCAGTCACATCACTTTCGAACTTAGACCCCCTCACCTTAAATGTATTGCCCCTCATGTTAGACATTTCAACTCTGGGACAAAGATTCTGACCCTCAACCCCATGTACGCATCTCATAATTTTATAAACTTCCATCAAGTCTCCCATCAGCCTCTGCTGCTCCAGAGAAAACCAACCTGATTTTCTTCTAGCCTTTCCTAGCTCATACCCTCTAATCTAGGCTTCATCCTGCTAAACCTCTTCTGCACTCTCGCTCCATAGCCTCCACTTCCTTCCTGTAATGTGCTGACCAGAACTGAATGCAATACTCTAAGTGTAACCTAACCAAAGTCTTATAAAGCTGCAACATGACATCCTGACTCTTTTACTCAATTTCCCTGACCAACAAAGGCAAGCATGCCATACGCCTTCATCTCCACCCTATCTACTTGAGTGGCCACTTTCAGGGGCCTATGGACTTGACTCCCAAGATCCCTCTCTGCATCAATGCTGTTCAGGGTCCATCAATTGACTGTATATTTTTCCTTAAAATTTGATCTCCCAAAGCACAGAACCTCTCTCTTATCTCGATTTAACTCTATCTGCCATTTCTCCGCCTATGTACGCAATTGATCTATAATCGGCTGTAACCTTTGACATCCTACACGATCCACAACCCCACTGACCTTTTTATTGTCTACAAGCTTACTAACCCGCCCATCTACGTTTTCATCCAAGTCATTTATATATATCACAAACAGCAAAGGTCTGAGTTCAGATCCATGCGGAATGCCACTAATCACGGACCTGCAGTTGGTAAAACACTCTTCAGCACTATCATCTTCCACACTGGGCAAGCCAATTCTGAATCCAAGTGGCCAAGTCATCATGGATTCCATGCATCTTAATCTTGTGGATGGCCTACCTTGAGGGACCTTGTCAAAAGCCTTTCTAAAATTTGTTTAGACATTGCAGGTTGGCAATTACACGGCATTGGAAGCATTTATTTTGGGCGGCACGGTGGGTCAGTGGTTAGCACTGCTGCCTCACAGCGCCAGGGACCTGGGTTCAATTCCACCCTCAGGCAACTATCTGTGTGGAGTTTGTACGTTCTCCTTGTGTCTGCATGAGTTTGCTCTGGTTTCCTCCCACAGTCCAAAGATGTGCAGGCTAGGTGGATTGGACATGCTAAATCACCTGTCGTGTTCAGGGATGTGTAAATTAGGTGGGTTAGAGGGGGATGGGTCTGGGCGGGATGCTCTGAGGATCAGTGTGGACTTGTTAAGCCAAAGGGCCTGCTCATGCCCTTGAAATTCAGTCAAGTTAGTAAGCCGTGACCTGCCCCACACAAACCTATGCTGACTGTCTCTAATTAGGGCCATGCTTTTCCAAAAGCGCGTAAATCCTATCCGTAAGAATTTCCACCAATAGCTTCCCAACCACTGATGTGAGTCACCGGTCTATAGGCTCCTAGTTTATCCCTATTTCCCTTCTTGAACAGAGGAACAACTTCAGCTACTCGCCAGTCCTCCAGGACCCCTCCAATGGCTAATGAGAATACAAAGTTCTTGGTCAAGGCCCCAGCAATCTCCTCTCTTGCCTCTCTCAGTAACCTGGGGTAGATACCTTCGGGCTCTGGGGACTTATCCATCTTAATGCTCTTCAAGAGACCCAACACCAATTCTTTCTTGATCTTAAAATGCCTCAGCAGATTAGCATGCTCTGCATTAATCTCACAATCCTCCGTATCCTGCTTGGTGAATACCAATGCAAAGTACTCATTTAGGATCTTTCCTGCATCCGCTGCCTGCAAGCACAGGTTCCCACCTTTATCCTTGAGTGGTCCTACCTTCTTCCTAGTTCTTCTCTTGTTTTTAACGTAAGTATAGCATACCTCTGGATTCTCTTTGACCCTTCTTATCAAGGTCTTTTCATAGCCCCTTCTTGCTCTCCTCGTTCCTGGCTTGAGTTTTTCTCCTGTTTTTCTTTAAATTCCGCATGGGTCCTGTCCAGTTTTAGCTTCCTAAACCTTACATAAGCTCTTTTTCCATTTTGACTGCATTGACAACCTCCCTCATTATCTGAGGATCCCATACCCTGCCATCCTTGTCCTTCCTTCTTACTGGAACATACCGGTCCTGAACTCTGATCAGTCGGTCTTTGAACAAATATGGACTAGCCCGATAACGGTTTCCCCCAATTAACACTCCCTAGTTCCTGCCAAGTACTGATTTAATTTGCCCTCCCTCAATATAGTACCGTAAGGCAAGATCCTGACTTATGCTAGTTCTTAGCTATCTTAAAACTTCAGGAGTTGTGATCACTGTTTCCAAAGTACTGTCCCACTGAAAGATCAGTCACCTAGCCAATAGAAGATTCAGTATGGCCCATCCTCCATTTGGGCTACCCACATAGTGTTTCAAGAAACCCTCTTGGATGCACTTAACAAATTCGGCCCCGTCTAAGTCCCAATCAATACTGGGGAATTTAAAGTCACCCACTCTGACAACCCTGTTGTTGCGCCTTTATATAGTTTGTCTACATATTTTGTTGGTCAATGTTTCAGTGGCTGTTGGTGGGCTTATAGTATAATCCAATCAGAGTGATTATTTTTGAGCTGTATCCATTTGCTTCAGTGAATCGGCCCTCCAGTATACCCTCTGAGTGCAGATATGGCATTCTCCCTGAATAGACAAGCAACTCCTCCACCTCTTCTACCTTCCTCTCTATCTTGTCGAAAATAACAAAGCCTTGGAATGCTGAGCAGCAGCCAGTCCTGTCCCTCCCTCTGCCGAGTCTCTGTAATGGCCAAAACATTATAGTCCCATGTTGTAAGGTCCAGGTTCTAAGCTCATCGGCATTACCTATAATACTTTTTGTATTGAAATAAACACACTTCAGCCTATCAGTCCCATTGTGTTAACTTAACTGTCTGTGCCTATCTTTCCTTTCTGACTTACTGGTCCTAACATCTGCCTTACCCCTCATCAGAGCTAACCTGATGCTCTGGTCCCCAGCCCCTACCACTCCAGTTTAAACTGTCCTGAATAACACTCGTGAACCTCCCTGCGAGGATATTGGTTCCCCTCCAGTTGAAGTGCTACTCCTTCCTCTTTTACAGTTCACCCCTGCCCCAGAAGAGTTCCCAATGATCCATGAACTTGAAACCCTGTCCCTGCACCGACTCCTTTAGCCACGCATTCATCTATCCTATCTTGTTATTCCTTGCCTCACTAGCATGTGGTACTGGTAATAACCCAGAGATTAGTAATCTCGAGGTCCTGCTTTTCAACCTCTTTACTAACTCTCACTGTACTCACTCAGCATGACTTCATCCCTCTTTTTCTCGCTGTGTCATTGGTTGCCAATGTGGATAATGACCTGTGGCTGCTTACCCTCCCCCTTAAGAATTTCATGGCACTGTTTGGAGATGTCCTTGACCCTGGCACCAGGGAGGCAACACCCCATCCTGGAGTCTGAAATGCAGCCACAAGAAAACCTATCTGCACCCCTAACTAGGGAGTGTCATACCACTGTCACTCTCTTGGACTTTGCCCGACCTTGTTCTACAGCGGAACCAGTTGTGGTGCCACAGGTCTGGCAGTTGCTGTTATACTCCCTAGAAAGGCTATTCCCCTGCAACAATTTCCAAAACCGTATACCTGTTAGAGAGGGGAATAGCCACAGGAGACTGCACTATATGCCTGCTTCTCCTAGCGGTCACCCATCTACCTAACTGAACCTGTGGTGTGACCACCTCCCCGTAACTAGTGTCTGTCACACTCTCTGCCTCTGTAAGCTCCTCAGTGTGTTCAACCAAACCACTGTGAGGAGCTGCAGCCAGTCACGTTTCTTGCAGACGTAGTCGCCAGGGACACTAGACTGCTCCCTGATCTCCCACATCTGGCTAAAGGAGCATACCACTGCCATAACTGCTATCTCTGCCCCTTTTACAGTAAGAAAGATAAAAGAATCTTAGCTTGCCTTTACCTTGCCCACCTTTCTCATTGAAGCCTGGTGGTCACCTAAGCCCACACTTATACCAGCCAGCAGCACTTACACCACACTGCAGCCCCTCTCAAACTGTTTTGTTAGCAATCTTTAATTAACTGGTTACTTAATTTACAATACAATCTTTACCGCCCTTTCACACCGGGTTCTTCTGTGATCCGCTGTTCAATTGTGGTGGCTGAGCCATCTTGTCCCAGCATGCTCTTCAGTCTCTCTGCCACCCTCTGTTTTTATTTCTGCTTACTATAGCATGTGGCTAAATCATGAAATTTCAACTATATTGAGATTGAATTTTATTTTGCAGTTTTTTGCAAAACAGTTGCATTTCCTTATTGTTGTGTTGCAACAGAAACCATTTTCCTTTTCATTTGCACTGTGTCCAAATTATTTTTCAAATGACACCTGCGTTTTCTTTAGCGAATCACATAGTATGTAACAGAAAACGCTGAAGACGTGTGCTTCACCCTTATGCAAAAGGTGATAATAGAATTTGTATTCTTCAGTTGTAAAAACCAGTAATAAATTCTTATCAAACAGAATTCATGTTTCATTTTTCTACTTTATTTTGCTCAGAACTAAATCTGCCAAGAACCGTTTTGCTGTCATAAAACCTAACACTTGCATTACTTTAATCACGTAATCGTCCCTTAATCAGGAACAATTGTTTTTATGATGAGAAGTTTTGAGTGAAGAATTGTATTGTTTATGGAATACTGTGATAGGTTTTGAGAACTTTTTCTTTGTCAAGGAATGTTACTAGTATCTAACTCCTAACCTTTTGTTACTTCTAGTGGTTCTAGTTGCAGTCTGGCAGCAGGTCTGGAGTCTTTGGGATTGACTGATATCAAGACCTTGGTTCGGTTGATGTGTCTGGCTGCAGCCAGTAGAGCAGGTCTTTCTCCGAGTCCGGGTGCAACCAGCACTTCAGATCGTCCTCGTGGAGTTCATAGCAAAGTTAACAAACCGATTTCCTGCCTTGCCTACCTGAGCACTGCAGTGGGCTGTTTAGCTTCTAATAGCCCAAGTGCTGCAAAGCTACTTGTTCAACTCTGTACACAGGTAAAACGTCTGCAAACTGTATAACTAATGTTGTGATATATTGATGAAAGAACTTCAGGACATTACAATCTGAGTGGAGCATGAGGGTGAGGGAAAGTGGAAGCAGCAAACAGGAGGAGGCACAAGTGTGTTGGCAGAGCCAGTACGTGATGCAGCAGGGAGTGTTTAACAGTAAAACAGACAATGTGTGCAATTGCAGTCCACTTCTTGCCAGTAACTGTGCTAAATGAAATAGGGGTCCATGTTATTCTGGTACATTCCCTCATTTACAAGCCATGCTAAAACAAAATCCACAGTACTAGAATGTAATTTAAATGTGGATAACTATACTAATGTTTCAAACTTGCTCTTCAACTTAACTTTTGGTTTATTGTGTAAACTTTTGAGAAAAAGTATTTTTTATTTAGTCTTATTTTGGGTCATTTTTTTCATACGATGGGCATAACATCATCTGGAAAAGAAAGGGATTTGTCCATTATTGTACGTCAAATTATTGTCCATTATTGTACCATCTTTGCTTGCCTTCTCAGAACTTGATCTCAGCAGCAACAGGTATGAATCTCACTACCATAGATGATCCCATCCAGAGGAAATTTCTACCCAGTTTCCTTAGAGGTATTGCTGAGGAAAATAAACTTGTGACATCTCCAAACTTTGTTGTAACCCAAGCATTGGTAGCATTACTTGCTGACAAGGGAGCCAAACTGAGACCAAATTATGACAAGACAGAGACGGAAAAAAGAGGTATGTGCAGTCATGTGAAAGTTGCCACGTGAACCCTTCTGATTATGATGAGAAGCCACATAAAATTATTGACTTTAGGCTAAAATACTTGCATGGTATTTTTGCCCATAATGACTTTTCCAAAGTCGTTTTCTTCTATTATGCAGTTTGTCTACATACTGAGACAATGAACAGTGGATCAAAACTTCACTTCTAATTGATCTGTTTTAATTGACAAGTATTTTGCTTTTTATTGCTGATTTGAAGATTTGAAAGTAAAAATTACCTTGATTTTAGTAAGTTTTTTTGTAACAACAATTTATTGCATAACTTAATTGATCAATTATGAGCTTTTAGCAAGGTGAGTGCAATACCATTGCTTTGTTTTCTTGGCCATCATTCACTGGGGATTGTCTCATTGTTTTGTTTAAGCAGGTTTTATTGCCCATTTGTATGCCCATCCTTCCTATGATCCTTCTGCTGTAGGCCCTCTGGAGCTGGCTAATGCCTTAGCAGCTTGCTGCCTATCATCTAGGCTGTCTTCCCAGCACAGACAATGGGCTGCTCAGCAGCTTGTTCGGACTCTTGCAGCACATGATCGTGACAACCAGAGCAAACCACAGACTTATGCTGATATGTCTGGGGACCTACGGAAATGTCCATTCACCAAGCTTGAAGCACACCAGAATAGGGTAAGAAATACATTTTCATACTCTAAGTCTCAACCGAGAGGAATTTTTTGCAAAATATTTCAACCATGTTAGCTTAAATAAGCTAGAATTGAAGATCTCAGACTATAAATATTTGATGTTCATAAGAACATAAGAAATAGGAGCAGGAGTAGGCCATCTGGCCCCTCGAGCCTGCCCCGCCATTTAATAAGATCATGGCTGATCTTGTTGAGACTTAGCCCCACTTATCCGCCCACTCACCATAACCCTTAATTCCTTTACTGTTCAAAAATTTATCTAGCTTTGCCTTAAAAACATTCAGCAGGGTAGCTTCAACTGCTTCACTGAGCAGGGAATTCCACAGATTCACAACCCTTTGGGTGAAGAAGTTCCTCCTGACCTCAGTCCTACATCTGCTTCCCTTTATTTTGAGGCAATGCCCTCTAGTCCTAGTATCAATACCATACTGAAGTTATTTGCTTAGATCATGAATTGCATGGAAGTGAGTTGCTGTGGTCTTGGTTTGGTGAATGTCAGGAAAGATCTTGGCATTAATCATCATCACCAACTGCAGTCAGCCTTGAAGGGAGAAGTGATTATTTTGCCAAGTGGTTTCTGGGTACCTGGCTTTAATGTGGAAAACACTGAAGCTAATTTGCTCACTGCAGATTCTCTCAAACGGCAATATGATAGCGACCTGAAAATCCGCTTTCTGTTTTGTTAACTGAAAGAGAAATGTTGGCCAGGATGCCAGGAAGAACTGCTCTTCAAAATTATGCCTTAGGATCTTTAATGTCACGTGAGTAGGTAGCTAGCGCCTTAGTTTAATATGCATTCATTAGACAGAATCTTCAACTGCAGCTCCTTCAGTACGGGGGTGTTAACCTAGATCAGAAGAAGAAATGCTAGTTGGGAGAGGATCGTGGCGTTCGGAGCTGCTCTTGGTTTTGAGATTTTTTTCAGTGCTGATCTGACTTACTTGCTTCCTTGGGACAACACTTGCTGTTTTGTTTTTTAAGTTTTGCAAAATTTTTGGAACTTTTTACTATAAAAAATCAAAAACAAAACTACTTTAAAAGGGAGGAAGGAGAGAGCATTTCAGATGAGTGACCATGTGGCAAGGTCAAAGACTGAGGAATTGCATCAGGCTCGGAGATCAGCTTTTTAAGCATCACCTAACAAGTGTAGTTTCACAGCTGTCAGACAGAAATTGCACAAGGGCTGTGAATATTGTATTTCACTGAAATAGCAAACAAGCAGTGCAATTTTGTGCCTGAAGTGGGAGGTCTAATATCCAGCTTCAGGTACAGCTGCAGAGGTATTAGTGATTTGAAAAAATATTACTGCCTGAATCTACAGGAAAAGAGGAAGACCTTTGGTTTTGGAGCATATTCAGCTAAGTATTTGATTTTAAGACTTGTATAAAACCTCTTAATCTTGTGTTTTTTGTAAATCTGTAATAGTGAGTAAGGTAAGGCCTTATTTTTTGTTATGTTTATACTGTGATTTGTCTCTTAATTGACTTTTAGTATTAAGGTTTGGAGATTGTTATTTGAGAACTGTGTTTTTGAGCAGTAAGGCTGGGATAATGGTGCGTTTTTGAGCAAGGTGTATTGTGTTTGTTTTTAGGTAATTTCTGGCTCTGTAGATTGGTAAAGGGACAGAAATGGCTTTTAGTAGGGTGATGAGCTCTTCCCTTCAGAGGTGAGCAATCAGGGAGAATTTTAGTGTTTCTGGAGACAGGATTCACAAGCAGACACAATCGGACAGTATTGATCGATTGGAGCAGCAGTTAGAGGCAATGAGGAGTTTACAAGAAAAAGTGGGTGTGATGGATTATAGGTTTAGGAAGGTGGAGACACTACAGATGCAGGTAGATGGTTGACCGCTCTAATGGTAGGAGACATAGCCACGTAGTGCAGGAGTCTCCTGTGGCTATCCCCATTTCAAACAGGTATGCCGTTTTGAATACAGTAGGGGCAGGGGATGCCCTCTGACGGAAGTGTGGAGCCAGGTTTCTGGTATCGTGATTAGTTCTACTGTAATAAGGGGTATGTTAGGTTCCAAGCGATCAGTTGTAATAGTCTGGGGCACAGACAGACACATTTTTGTGGCCATCAGCAAGGTGTGTTGTCTCCCTGCTGCCAGATTCCAGGAATTCTTGGAGTCGGTGCAAAATATTCTGAAAGGAGAGAATGACCAGCAGGAGATCGTTGTGCACATTGGTACTGACGACACTGGAAGGGAAAGGAATGAGGTTCTGCAGACAGAATGTAGGAACCTCGGCAGGAGGTTAGAAAAGCAGGTCCTCAAGGGTGTTATATCTGGACTACAACCAGTGTAATGTGCTAGTGAGAGTAGGAATAGCAGGATAAAGCAGATGAATGTGTGGCTGAGGAGCTGGTGTAGGCGTCAAGGATTCACTTTTTTGGACCATTGGGATCACTTTGGGGTAGAAATGACCTGTGTAAGAGGGATGGGTTCCACCTGACTTAGAAGGGGACCAATATCCTTGCAGGGAGATTTGCTCGTGCTACTTGGGAGGTTTGAAACTAGTAAGGGAGAGATGATGGGAACCAAAGGCTGAGGCAGGTACAGTAGCTGAGGGGAGCAAGTCAGTTGATCAAGGCAGATAAACTTGGGAGAGAATAAGGTAAGACTGATAAATTAGGTGCAGGGCTGGATGAACACAGCAGGCCAAGCAGCATCATAGGAGCAGAGAGGCTCCTATGATGCTG